TAATAAAAATAGGTGACTTACCACGAGTCGAATACAAGAGGTAGGCAGAGATAGCGCAACTCACCGTCAGATGCGGGCGATTACGTGTGGTGCCTGACGCGATCAGCTGATCGCTACATACTGTTTCTGTATTTTTCTCTCTTTCTCTCTTTTTCTCTCACTTATTTATTTATTCACTCGTAATTTGTATTACTTGATCCGTTCATCACGTAAATCACTGTCAATCACGGTGAGTTGCGCCGTTCCTGCCTACCTCTTGTATCCGACTCGTGGTAAGTCACTTATTTTTATTAATAACTCAAAAAGTAAGCTTCAAACAAAATTTTATCAAATAAAAAGTTGTCTTAGAAGTTAGTCAAGAATATCTATTTTCAAGGATAACGGGTTGTTTTGAATCACCCTGTATACATGTTACATATATATATATATATATATATATATATATTTCCGCAACAAACACCCAGCGTATGGCTCTTATGATCATTTATATATTTCGAACATAGTTTGTAATTAAAAGAGAGTCTACGACTCATTATTATTAGTGTTATAATTTTCCACTCAACAATGTAATTGCTACACAGCGCGTCAGGAATTCGAAGAGTAGGCGAGAGGATTGGAGGGCAAGCGAGCCGTACGATTCGTACGGCGCTTGTTGGCGAGCAACCGCCCCGCTTGCCCTCCGATCCCCGATCCGCACCTATTCTTCGAATTCCTGACGCGCTGTGTACAAGGCATGTTACATCGTAGTTACATTGTTGAGTGGGAAATTATAATATTAATGTTACGTTACTGTTACTTTATGTTTACTGGGTACAAATGTTTAGAAACATAATTGATAACACACACAGAAGATAGAAAGATAAAGAAAGAAAGAAAGAAAGAAAGAAAGAGAGAGAGAGAGAGAGAGAGAGAACAAAATCTATATATATTTACAATATTCTATAAATTTTAGATAAACATTTTATATATAAAAAAGATAAGAATGTATCTACAGTGAACACTTTTGCCTTTCCTAATTATAAGACAAGTACATTTTGAATTCATAATATTTATAATAAACTATTTGCAACAAAGTTATGATTTTTTAAGTATATAATTAAATTGAGATAAATTTATCAGTGAAAATTAATTAGTCAAAAATCGTTTGTTTGAGCTACATTTTAGAAATATTCTTTTCTTTTTATAGACCGTCCTGATCTTTCTTCCGGACTTTCTCGACAAAGAGGGATGATTCGCGCAAGGTTCTTCAAAATAAAGTTACAGTCTCCCGGCCCGACATACGACTTTTCCGCTTCTTGTTTTCGTTTGTTAATTACTTTCGTTTGCCATCGATATACTTTGCTATATATCGATATATATAGAATATACCTACATAAAGTGTGTAACACTGACGAGTCTACGCTATTTCGCGTAGAATCACTTCTTTGTTTCCTATATCTTTCGACCTGCACTTTCATGCAACCGTTTGCACGCGTGCGTGCGTGCACATTTTGCGCTTTTCACGAACGCAGCATTTTAGACACAACGTGTGCTTATATCGTGTCTTTTCTTATGTTCTCTCATTCTCTCTCGCTCTTTCTCTTCCTTCTTATTACGCGCAAAATACAATTTTCTCGCTGCATTGCACAGTTTCGCGACAACTCTCTGTGATGTTATCAACACTGGTCTTGTGTTGCACGTTACATTTTCTCTCTGTAAAAAAGAAAAACAAATTTGCTTGCGTTTATTTCTTCTATCTTTTACGTACTAGTACTGTTTTTGGTTAATTATGACGTTTTTTTCCTGTTTTTTTGCAACCTGGTGGTTGCATGTTTAAATACTATTTCGCTATAAGTGGACTACTATTTTATGAGCTCTACGCTATTTTGTATTGTATCCTGTAATGCTTCGCAATAAAACGATTGTATAAATGTATATACTGGTGAACACACGCAATCTATAAAGTCCCGTTCCAAAGATACCATACGCGGCGTCGACGGAACAAAACTGACGTTCGTTTTAAAAAGCTTTACTGGTTTTCTCGCGGCGCGAGATCAGAGATTTTTAAGTCATTATCTTATCTTCCACGGAATGCGTTGCATTTGATAAATAATCGCGTAAATAATCGTGTAGAATAAGTAGAGATATAATCGTTATAAAACTTTCTATAAAATTGCGTTAGATATGTTTTTAAAAGCAAACACGAGTAAATATACAACTAAAATAATCTGCACATATCTTATATTATCAGAATTGTTTTGCTGATAAAAACTAGAAAAAATTTTTCTATATTAGAGGTTTCTTAATCATTTTTTTGTTTTATGATGTAAGATGCCGCATATGCTAGCCATGACGTCGAGAGTACATATGTGTGTGGATTCTGTATATGCTCCGGTTACAAAATAATATATGTAACGTAAGAAATCACGATCTGGCTAAGTGGTGGCTCCGCACCTCGAATCTGCTTTCTGCTAAATTAATACTCCTTATGTCCTTCGGTTATGAATAGTTTTTTAATCGTAGTAATTTTTATAATTAACCGCTCTGCGTTTTTTCCCCATCTCATTAAAAATCTTAGACATCAACATACATTCATTTTTTATTTTTATAATAAATCGTTATTAGAAACCTATCTCGTATTCTTTGCTCTATATGCATTTCTTTAATATAGATTTCATCGTATTTATCGTTATTTAATCGTTAATCTGTTTATTTACAGAGACGCATATTCTACGAAATCCACACTTTATCTCCTTGCTTTCATTTATACGTTAATTAATTAATTCATTGCAAGCCACGTGGTTGTTTGTCATCAGTAGATATTTTACCTTCAATCTCGAGAAGAGAGGAACAAGTCTTTTTTTCTCAATGTGCGAGGACATGCGCGATGTGTTCCTCAATCGGAACACTCGCGCGCGCCTCGTCGGGCATCTTTCCTTGTTCTTGCATACGCACACGAGTGGGTGATTACGCAAGTGTGAAGTGAAGTACGAACATAACAGCAGACGGAAACTTGGGATAGACGTGAAGCATATATCCTTATTGTTGTTTTTATTTTTTATTTATTTTTTTTTATTTTTCTTTCAATTTTAAATTCTACTCGGACGTTTTATTTACACGTGTTCAAATTACATCGACAAGTAGGTCCAATTTGCGTAAACCGCAAATGTAGATCTGTCTCGTTAATGCAGTGCAGTCTTGTGTACACACAGTAACATCTATTTACATATGTCTCTGAACAAACAAATTCATACTGATGATGCGTTCTATTTGTTAAAAAAATATTTTCTTTTTTCATCGACAGCAGGATGCCTCACGTCTCACGAGCTATGGTGCGGATTGTAACATGTAATGCATGGGAATGTAATGGAGAATGGACAAAAGAGAAAAAAATAGGGAGATAAAATAAAAAGAAAAAATGAGTTTGCAGTGAGTGACCATATCTATTTTCTATATTGAAATATTTTGTCTATAGTATTATTATAGTGTATTCATTTATCGTTCGCGCGAATGAGTACCATTCACGTGAATCCACGTATCTCCACGCATGTTGCTTTTCTTATTTTTTCGCCATTACTTAAAATAATAATTTTGACTCGCGATTGATCGTTTTGTACATTTTCACGATTTCCAACAATGCAATCACTTTCATTCAAAACAAAGAATCCAAGTTCATGGATTTGTTTTTATATTTTAAATATATAATGATTCTTTCTAGTTAAACATTTCAATTGTGGAAATGAAATGTTTTAAAAAGCATACGCGAGTTTTAATCGGTGTTGGAATCGTAAAAAATCGCGAGAATCAAGTCGCTCGTCGTTATTGCGAAAGTACAAAAAGTGAAAATATTATGTAAATAGGCGAGAGAATAAACAGACAAATTGACGTGAATGGCGGAGGCGTACGATATCAAAGCTTAGTGCAGTACAACAATAATACAGTAGATAACATTACGAGGAGCGCTCAATTTCTGCTGCGTGTTATTTGCAAATCTTGGCTGATCGCAATTATTCACTGCTCTCGCGTTCGCAGACGCAAGTAGGGATAATAGATAAAAATGAGTTTAGATGTCAAACGAGGATTCCTTTGTTTGTTATCTAATATATTCTGAATAAATACTTCTCTTTCTTTTTTGCGTTTTCACACGCACGCACGCATGTACGCACTCATGCATTTTCTTGTTACGGTACTCATTTTTCGCGTAAAGTCGTATTTACAATAATTCATTAGTGCAATCATGCTTATAATTTTTCTTGTATAGCCAACACGAATGAAAAATTACTCACTGCTTTGCGTCTTTTGTTCTCGCGTGTCTTCTTTATTTTCTGGCAGTAAATAATAAATAGAATTAAAAAAACATAGAAATAAAGATCAATAAATCGAAAACATAATGACCGACCGATTATAATGAGGCACCTTAAATAGAAACACGATCTATGGGTAACTGTAATTGTGTAATTTTTTAGAAATGATTTTTGATTGAAATTTTTTGCCTTTTCTTTGTTGTTGCAATAGAACAACAAAAAGAGAAATTATTTTAATCTCAAAATCAATTCCACAAAAATGCTTATATGCATAATAGCTACCCTGTGTGTAATACTCGAAACAAAATCAAGAACGAGGAAAACAACACACAACAAATTTGGCTCCCAGAGATTTGTGTCGCTGTTCAATTTCGGGCGCCGACAGGGAGGATGGATACACGTTAATTTGTTCACTATTAAATTTAATATTTTACTAGCAAATATAGAATATCGAGTGTTGAATATTCGTAGCGCGATAATGATGGCGGATATAATAAATATAATACACAGATCTATATATATATACACATATATATATACATACATATATATATATATATATATATATATATATATATATATNTATATCGATATTATTACGTACAAAAATTATTATTATACCAAATTCGCATTTTGTTATATATATATATATATACATATATATACATATATATATTCTATATATATATATATAGAATATATATATAGAAGTCTCGGTATGATACAATTATTATACAATTTTCTCTTATTCGATTCACTCAGTCTCTTTCTTGCATGCCTTTTTTCCACTATCTTTCCTGCCTGAATACGACGCTTACGAATCAACGATAACACTATTCTTCGTTGCTGACTCGCGACAATATGTAGATTGTCGTAATGGCAAGGATTCATTTAAGTCGCTTTCTTCGACGAGTCTCTTCAAGATGCTCGCATTACAATCGCGTAACGCACATATCTACATCGCAATCACGTAACACTTACACGTTTTACATTTTCTCTCTTACGTTTTTTTTTTCATATTATAAGATTTATCTAGAAATACGGCACTCTCTTAAACCTTTTCTGTTGTCGGTTGGTGAAGGCGGCCGCAAAAGCCACTTGTACATATTCATTAGGAATTTTATTTACACGCGTGCTAACTATCCTACTCACGATCTCGCATGCAAACTCGAATGATCCTTCGTCCTCGGCGTCCCGCGATCAGTCCGAGCTCGAACGCCGCACGATTACTTTCACACGATTTTTTAATTCTTCTCAAGCGCTTGTTCAATTATCGAGAAATACAGCTCGTTTTGAGATCTTAAAGATGTTAAAGTTCTCGAGAACCTCTCGAGACAAAAATTGCGAACTCTGGATTAATTGCCAACTTGACCACAAACTGACAGCATCCTCAAAGATTTTCAGGTACTCTTTTCTCGAAGCACGGCGCACTCGGACGATCGCACTCAGAACAAATCTGTATTTTTTTTTATCGGTCCCAAGCAAGGACCCCTTAACGAAGGACCGTTCGTTGTTAATCGAGCCCACGCAATATATCGTTCTGAATGAAGGATTCGCGACACTTGAAGTCAAGAGACGTGATCTGACGGTCACGTAGATGACCTGCTACTAGTGCATATATTTAATGTTCTTTTTTTCTCGTCACTTTTCGCTATCGTTCGAGGATACTTAGCACACTGCCATGACTTCCGCTTCTCCGTATTCGAATAAATACCTACAGTTAGCGTAATGATAAGAAGGACAACCAATACGACTACCATTTATAGTAGTGATAATAGTGGGCGTGTACTATAAGTAGAGTCTAGTAGTAGTGTTTTTTTTCTGTCTTTTTCCCCCGCTTTTTCGGCTACTTCCGTTTTTCGTCGTCTTCGTCGTCCTATGGTGTATTTCACCTTTGGAATTTCCGTTGCTTTCGTTAATTGTAAGTAATACAGCGTTGCCGCGCTCGTGTGCCGTGAATGTCTCTCTTCTCTTGACGCGTTTTTTCTCTCATTCTCCTTGTTTTGTTTTTTTTTTTATTTCTTTCTCTCTCTCTCTCTCTCTCTCTCTCTCTTTCTCTTTTGTCTCGTTTCTTCTTTCTTCTATCTGCTATCTCTCGAGTCGGCGCGACCATGGATCGTGCGTGTCTCACTACGATCGAGGGACGGCCGAGAAACGCGCGTATGTGTCTCGCGCGCTACTCAAGAAATCAATTAAACGTAGGATAATCACAGAAGAAGGGGTTTTGACGCATGGGATATACGACGTTCTCGTATGTGACCAGTGCTATCGCTTCACCGCAGCAGTTGCTGCAGCAGCGTGCTTATCAACAGGCTAATCGTTGCTAGGATCAGGCTTTGCGCGTACCGGATTTGCGAGCCGTACGAGCTCGCGCTGTTATACGTCAGCTCTTCGTTCTTCACCACCTCGTTTGGATGGTCCGAGTACTCTTCTGTAGAATACAAAAATATAGATATCATTAGCAAGTAGTTTCCCTATTAAATAAAAAAAACAAAGTTTATGAAGTTGAGAAACAAGCAAGACAGAATTTCTCGAGAATTAAATTTATTAAGTATTTATTAAGTTAGATATAAAAATGAAAAATAGATATATGTGTGTGTGTGTGTACGCGCGCGCGCGTATATTATATTTATTTTATACTGATCAAATTCTTTTCAATAATTATATCCGTTAATCTAACAAGAAAGAAATATATCGAGATCCATGGTAAAAATTATAAAATATTCTTTCGACAAAATGCAAATGTGCGCGCGTACGCGACGTTTTTAAAAGTCAAATTATATCTTAGATGAGACGAAAAAGGCTAGGATCGACAGATCCAAGTTTTGTTCAATCAGATCTTGACATTGCACTTCGTAAGTTTCTTATTTAGCATGCGCGTGTACAATACACACACATCATACGAATTTTAAAACTAAATGGTGACTCCACTTCTCATCGCATAAATAAAACGCTACGTTAATACACATATCGCTTTGTATCTCTAGAGTTTTTTATGATTGGGAAAACGGACAAACACCAACAAAGTATTTAGATCAAAAGTAAGTAATCGATATTCAAACTGGAATAAATAACGGTATCAATAAGATATATAAGTCAAAGATAAAAACAAACATAATAACATAATATATAACTCTCGCAAGACGGCACTGCTCATATTATTTCTACCATAATTTGACTTACAGTAGAGCAAAGATAGAAATGCTTATGCAGATAATCTTAAATTGTCGTACACTCATCATAGAATGTTTAAAAGAGTACTAAATACCGATAATAGAGACCTGTAAATCTACGTTTTAGAAATCTAAATTTCTCTAATTTCTAATTTGATTTACATTAAATTGCATTACATGAAAAGTGCTTCTACAAAAGCAAATAAATATAAAAAACTATAGTGCTTTTGAAAATGAATATATAATGCTCTTTTGAACTCTTTTTCATTCATAATAATAGCATGTAATAACCCATGTCTAGTTGATGAGAAAAAGGAATATTCGTGATGACAGTATAGGTTATCATATGCTATTATTATGAGTGAAGAAAAGAGTTCAAAAGAGCATTATATATTTATTTTCAAAAGCACTATAGTTTTTTATATTTATTTGCTTTTGTAGAAGCACTTTTCATGTAATGCAATGTGATGTAAATTAAATTAGAAATTAGAGAAACTTTCTAAAATTTCTAAAACATCGATTTATAGGTTTTTATCCAGTTTACAAATCGGTAGGAAAAGTCCCGACTGACATAAAAAAACATAGCTGATACTTTGACTGTCAGTTCGTCGATCAGTGGTGATTATTAATAATTACTGTAGCGTACCTCGCACACAATTCAATTAGATATTCTCTTATTGAGCTAAAAACTCCAGCACCTACCTAATCTATTTCTCATAAACTATCTGATCATACGGATAATCTTGATCTAACTGGCATACAATCGATCAGATCTATATATGAATTACGAGGCACAAAAGCGAGACGATTAGTGCGAGAAAGTGTTTGAGGTAAGAACAAGATTTCATTGAACAAGACAGAGAATGTGATACGTACTGTTCTTTTTCTTCTGATCTGTTGATGTCTTGGGCGGCGTGATCGAGGACGGCAGTCCATTGTGAATCGGTTGCTGTGGCTGGTGTGGATGTCCAGGATAGACCGGTGGGGGCACATGGGATAGCGTCGGCTCTGCCGTAGCTGACTGTTGGTTACGGTGACCATTGATCGATTCTACTGGATAATATCGATTTTCGTCATGTCTGATTACCGATGGTGGCAACGGCTGGGACGGTACTCCAGCAGCTCCACCGCCCACAACCGCAGTGCTGGTCGAGCTGCTGCTGGGCACAGTGCTGCTGGTCACGGTCATGGCTAAAAGAAACAAACGACATCAATAGTTATGCGTCTTTCTCCGCGCTTCCCTCGATCTTGCACAAGCTACGCGCAGGTGTCGAGGAATATAATCGGTTACCGGCGCGACCGACCATCGTTGCAGCCATCATTCTCGGATCTTCCGAGAACAAGTCCGCGCTTGCAACGGTTTATTATAGAGGGGAAGGGAAAAATCATATACCGTTATGCTGAGATGCGTTGACTGCTTGAAATATATGACGTATGAGCATTTTAAGACTCGCGCGCGTGCAATTCTTGGAACTAAACCATATAATACCAATATTTGTTCAATGTATTTGAAATATAACTAAATTGTAGCAGCAATTTGTGTGTGTGTAGTGTGTGTGTGTGTATGTATGTGTGTGTGTACATATATACATACATATAAGAGGAGAGAATTCAATTGTAACAATTAGCAAGAGAAATGCCTTTCATATCCATCATATTCACACTTTCCCATCGCAAAACTCATTGATCGTTTCTGCTTAATTTGAACAGATAACTCGATGTGAACTTTTTGGAAATAAAACTCACGCGTCCTCCGGCGATATAATTGTGTGGAAGTAGCCAAGCGCAAACTCTCGACCGTCTACCGTGGACGCGAAGTCGAGTCTTAGCCGTGGAATTTTCGATGCCCAAGACGATATCAAGGAGAAGCGGGAGAAAGAGAGAGAAGAAAAGTTCAGAGTTCCTGGCTGGCGAAATAGCTGGTCATTATAGCGCATGAATCGTCTCTGCCGAGGCGGAGGTGGCAAGAAAAGAGGAAGAAGATGCTGAAGAGGAAGAAAGAAGAATAAAGAAGAAGAAAAAAAAGAAGTGGGAGAACGCTTCAAAAAATGCTTCAGAACGAATTGGGCAAAAGAATAGAATTTCAGCGGAGTAAAATAAAATGATATAGAATTTATTGTGTGCACCAAGACACACGGTGTTTGTTCCTTCCTCTCTTTTTTTTTTGTAACAAATGACGTACCGTCATGAACCCAGCTTTTGATAAGCTAAGATTCTAAAATTTCTTTAAAAGTTCTAAATTACATATAAATGAAATTAATGTAATTTTTTATTTAACTATTAAAATTTGATCTTAAATTTAGTTCAAGGTAACTCTTGAAAATAAAATAATATAATCAATTAATTTTTAATTAGGGTAAAAAACATGTCTTGGAGCCATCATGGAGCAGTTTTTGATCACTTAAATCGTGTTGGAAAAGCGACAATGTGGAAAATGTAGTTTATACAGTTCAGCTGATCAAATTGACAGTTTTCTCTTTTTTATAGCATTTAAAGCATTTTTCATATCATCTACATGGATGATATTTTGTTAGCCTCTTGCCTGTATTATCCATTCTTAGTTAAGTTATAAATCTGTCACAAACAATTAAAAAAAGAACAATTAAAATTAAATTATAAAACGTAGACTTTATCATAGTTTTATTTCTAGTTTTTATTTTTTAAACATTTTTATGTCTTCAAAATAATTTTGTTGCAATAAACACACTTGCTAAACAAATGATCAAAAATTGCGGAAACATAAAACATTTGTACCCAATATTAATCATTTATTTTTTGTAAGAAAATCAATATATATATAAAATATTATCAATTTTACTATTGTAATTGCAGAAATTATTATATATATATATGTAAAAGATATAAAAATTACCTTCAAATCGTTGAAAAAAAGTAACAGAACAAAATTGAAGTTATCGCTGTATTTTACACTCGGTATTAATAAAGCAGTATTCACTCGGATAACTTTAATTATAAAGCTTGTTTTAATTAAAACAAATATTTCTATGAGCTTTCAAATTAGGTATATAGATGTCGGAATATTTAATTATTATGCCAACATTTTTTTGGTCTAATTTTTATGATTAAAATCTTGCTTAATAATACTTTGTTTTCGTCAACAAACTGATCAAAAACTGGATCTGTGACACACACAGTACGAAGATTATGATCAATAAAGATTATTTAAGAGAGAAGCAACAGAACACAAACGGAAAAGAAAAAAAGAAAAGAAAAATAGAGAAGATAGGAGACAGATACAACAAAAAGAAGAAAAACAAGCGCAGAAGAATGGCGAACGAAGTATACTGCTAGTTAGGATAACCGTTCTTTACGTAACTGATCACGAGATAATGAATTTATAGACCATTTCTGTTTTTTTCTTCTGTGTGATCTTTCTCTTTTCTACTTCTCTTTTTCTCTAGTCGTCTTCGTAATCGGAAGAAGGCGCGCAGAACAAAAAAGCGTGAAGTTAAGAATGTTACATAAAAAGGTAATATGTATGTCTCTCATGTAAACGCTTGTAATTTCAGATTTCTTTTTTATGATAATTGAAAAATTAGAATATAATTGCCGCGCGCATTGGCTATCATGAAAAGCGAAGGGCTCGCGTCTCGGGCACGTATACGGTACAATGTAATTTGCAATATGTAGATAAGACGCACACGCGAGTAAGCCTGCATCGATCACACAAATTGTCTGGCAATAACTTCAATCTCTCGATATAAAGAAACCTCATATGTGCTATATGCAGCTACTTACACAAACAAGATTTTATTCGATTCCAAATTGTTTGCAAACTATTTCTTCTCTCAAGGCGTTTGTTCGAGATACTTACAGTTATTGCGTGATGTCGCCGACGAGGACGATGTTTCAGCATCGTTGCTGCAGCAGACCTTGAAAACGACCTTCATGTTGTGGCTGGTACACCGACCGCCGATACGCCTATGTAAGTCGTCTTTAGACGAGGTGCTGATGAAGTAGTAATCATGGCCCGGAAGAAACTCGAGTCCTCCGGGTTGTGGCGTAAACGGCCTGAAGGTGATGGTAAAGTACATCGTTCGTCGCGGCTTATCGCATTGCGCTATTATCCGCGGACTGGGATTCGTTATCCGACACGTGTCATATTCTTCTTTGGACACCTGCAAAACATCCGGGATAAAATAACTTGGCAGTCGGTGTCGCAAGACAGTATAATCGACGCGACGCGACGAATATCGGTAACTGATTAACTGCTGTGAAAGCTGCTATCTTGGATTCTCGTGCTTTTCTGAAAGAGACTTTATTGTTGGAACTAATCGTTGTGTAGGAAAAACGACGGAAACAAGGGAACTTTAGACAAGTGCAAGGTGGAAGGATAATCAAGCGAACCGAAGCAATTAGGTCGCCACTAACACAAGGAATAGTGCTTAAGAGGTTTTGCTTTACTCAATAAGAATGGACGGCTGTTTAGATTGTTTAGAATTGTTTAATGACTAGAACCGTGAAAACTATAGTAACCGTTCCACGCGCGTGCGCAGAATTGAGTCTCAAGTAAATAGAAGTGTATACAAAGCTACGATAAGAAGGAGCGTGTTGTTAGATTTTCATCGTAACGTATCAGTTTATATATCGCATAATAAAAATTTTTGCAAGTAAAAACCTTAAAATATATATAAATTATAAACACAAATTATAAATATAAATATTACACACACACACACACACACACATAAGATACAAATTATAAATATAAATAATAAATAAAAGTACAGAGATATACAAATAGAAGAGTAAATAACTAAAAACTAAATACAAAATATATATCTTCAACTTTTGTTCTTCCCGAAAAAAACCCTAAGATGTGTAAATAAAGATAAAAAATAGAAAAAGAAGAGCTCTGAAGTTGCTCAACATGCTTGTAAGTGTATCAATAGGCACGGTAGTGCCTCGCGCAATGAAGTCGCGCGCGAACGAAGCGAGCACTCCGTGCCTCTATTACGCAAAAATGAGTAAGTTTGACAGTTGCGGAAATATGAAATATTTATATTTTATTAATGATTGAACCAATCGACTTCTTTTTAATCTCAATCGATTCAGAACAAAAACATTAAAAAAAAGTATTATTGCGGTTTTTGTGTTTGTGTCTTCTAATTGGAAATATTTGATAATAACGTTTTGACAGTGAAAAATTCACGTTTTCATGGTATTCATGGTCGTCGTGGGATCGGAATTTGTGCATGTTCGTATGCCTGCTAACAGATGGCATAAATGTACGTGCACGCTGAAAGGAGAAAAGAGAAAGAAAGCAGGAAGTGTGAGTTAGAGAGAGAAGAAAGAGGGAATCAAGAAGCACGGTTGTGATTTCAGGTTTACCGCACAAAAATTCTTCCGCATTATACGTTTTAGTTAAGTATTTTATTAGGATGTTAGTTAACTAACTTCTATTGTACTTCTATTGTGAAATTGTCGGAGTTCCATCCAAAACAATTTTTTATAATATTGTATATTATTGTGTAAATTTTAAATAAACTAGAATATATATATACAATTTAATGTTGTTTAATTTTTATACTTACGTATTATTGTGAATATTATTTTAGTACAAAACTGATCCAGAACAACCTCTCTCTCTTTCTCT